TTGCACCATTCAACACCCACAGAGCAGACTGTTCTAAAAGCCAGTGGAGAGACAGGTGTTGACACTGGCACTGTAATGAGCAGGGTCCTATTTTAGCTAGAGAGTTACATAACTTTGACCTATTTTTCTCAATGCAATGCCATAGGACCAATAACAGACCTTCCCACTACCGGTGTCTTCAGGAGAGGGAAGGGGGGGGGGAGGTGAGGGTAGCCCATCAGCAAACTCCCAAGATGGCCAGATTTGGGCAGAAGAAGAAACGACACATGCCTAGACTTTTAAGGAACTTCAGAAGACTCTAGGCTAATGTTTGCATGTTACTGAACATGCCTTCCACTAAGAATATCCAGAATTGGACAAGTTTTTGAAAATCAGCATATCTTTCAAACTTCAACTACTGGACTGGAACCTTCCCAAGTTTGACACGCAAATCTTGGATCTGTCATTGCTACCCACATATCAAGTAGGCAGCCACTGCTTAGGGAGGCATCCCTCACCAACAACCTGCTGGCACTGAAATTACCAACTCCTGATGCGTTCCAAACAAGACCCCATCTCCTGATGCTTGCCAAACCCAGGACTGCTAGCTAATGTACTAACATAATGCATTATTGACTTAACACTAACTGCAGACAGCATGACATGAAATTCTTACATGTTTGATACACCAAATTCATACATATTACAATACACATAATTGTACATGTTTCAAATGGGATTTATCCAGGAAAATTGAGAAGACTGCAATCATGACACATTATCATGAATTGAGGTAACAAGGCTTTAACCAAGAATGAGAGCATTAAGCTGAATTTCCAAACAGAATTTCTGGGGTTTTATTCTTGGATCCCTTTTCATGCCGACAGGTACCTAGACCTCTCCCGATGCATAAACTCCCATGAGTCAATTAGAAAGCGGTGAACCACTTCCTTGTAGTGAAAGCAGCCTTGCCGACACAACGGATCGGTAAATAGCTCCCTAAAAGAAAGATAGATATGTAGATACCTATTCGGCGATTGCCGCCTCCGGAACTGCTGTTGATATCCCCCTTGCACCTACGGCCCGCAACCTCACGCCGACTCAAAAAGGAACTCCACGCTTTTGCAGTTGTGTCTGGCTCCAAATTTCTGGCGCTTCTCGTCTCGAGGTCAAGTTATTAAGGTGTCCTCATTATAATTCGGCATATCAGTGAAACTGAGAGGTCGCACACCAAAATGATTTATGCTGGCACTACATGAATGGAATTCCAAAAAATAACTTCAAAAATATTTTTTTACACTTTATGATTCAAGAGACGTTTGTTTCTCTCAGCAGGACACATGAGCGGCCAACCACAGCTTACCACTTGCAGATTGGTGAAACTCTTACTTTACAGTGTTTTAGTAACGCACTAACAGTCAGCTGATACATTTTGACAGACCTGCGCTAGAATCGCAGCTGGTTTCATTATATGTTTTTTATCCATATTTGATTGGGTGTTCGCACTCGATTTGCCATGGAGTGCGCTGTGTCGGAATAGTTGGGTGGGCGGTTAGGTGAGTTGATCGTTAGTGTGGTTTGAAAGCGATGTGTATTTTTTATTTGATGTCACGCCTGTTGTCTGCCGGTTGGTGGGGTGGGTGGGTCCGTTTTCACTATATCAGCGATTAGCAAGACAGCAGCCATAGGTCTGCCGGAGCCTGAGTAAAAATACCTAGTTCTCACTGTGAAGTCAGTTTTTTTACTTCAGGAACATGAACAGCATAATGCTTTGCCAAAACAATATTATAATCACAGTTCAGGCTCATACATTGCTTGAATTAACAACCAAAATGTCACACAAGGTATGTTTTAAAATAAACCTGATGACCTTGGGTGCTCTTTGTAAATCAAGTGAAGTAATTTATTAGGCAGCTACTGGCAAAGCACAATCTTAGTCATATATTTGTGCCAGTGTGCCAGGTTTGGTGCATTTAGTTGAACATTCCAAGTTTACACAAGAGGAATGGATAAGTATTTATCACTTCTTACATTACCTTATGGCGATTGGGAATCACCACCAACATCACCATACCATCGCCATCACCATATCACTCGCATGTTATGTTAATTCCATCAGCATGCTGCTCAGGATTGGATGAAAAGGTATGGTTGATCAGTTGATTATCTGCTCTGTTATGATTTACTGCTTGAAACTGCATCATTTGTCAGTCATCCATTGTCTGCATCTGATTTGCTGCTGCATCTGTTGCAGAATCTGCTTCCATGGAACCAAACGGCCATCAGAAAATGGAGGGCATCAATAAGTCAGATACCATATCATCAATGAACAGGAGTGATACACTGAACTCAAAAATATCATACCAGCCCTACAGTTCTTTGGAGGTGAGGAAACAAGCAACAAATGATAGTCAATGCATTGTTTTTGTTGATGTGTATTCTGAGAGGATCATGATAATATCTGATTATGGGCCAAATCATTAATGCATCACAGTATGTTGACTGTGCTAGCCATTAACTGCCACATGCTTTCATTCCTCCTCAGCTGTTGATCATGTGTGAATCACAAGTTGTGGGATCAGGGATCAAAGTTGTGACCCCTGATCAGTACTGGGGAACCACTAGGAAATGGATTTCATTAGACTTTCACCCCTGGATAGCAAACCAAACTTTCTGGATGATGCCAAAGCATCCAGTTAGATTTCTATGTAATGTTCTTTTATCTACAATATCAGTGTGCCAAAAAGCATCACTGCATCATACATTTTATCTCCAGTGTGTTATGTGATAGCATGTACTTCTCCATGAGGGCACAGAGAGATGTAAGGCAACAGTTTAAGTCAATGCCTTTTCTTGTACATGTTGGCCAGATTTTGAGGCACTTTGTAGGGTGTAGTGATCAGCAGCATTTTCACCACACAAATGTGTTCACCCCCGCAGCATTGCTCACCTGGGGCTCCAGCTGCATCCCTTCTGGACAGAATATTGCGTCATCACACCCAGTTACTGGCACTCCTATAGGTAGAGCAGAATTGAACTTTGTCTCGATTTGCAGTGGAATCAAACAACCACAGTGGGTAACCAATGTTGTCACCACATCTAATCTGACTGCTGACACTTTACAGAACTATTTAACATGGCTCAAAGCTATAAATCTGTCATTTACCTGGGCAAGAGCGACCTGACATGTACAAACACAGACACTTGGGGGCGTATGTACATGGTGGCTCCCCAGACACGTTCCCCCTACCCCATTAGCAAACACATGGCGTGTTTTGATGTGTGCTACTAAATGCTAACAATCACGCTTAGCCAGAAACCTACAACTAACTAGATCGAGAATATGCGGTGTTGTTTTGCTGCTTGCAAAACATTTCACATCCCTGGCGAGCTTAACGGTTTTTAGTGGGCGTTTTTGAACCACGCCCTCCCCCTTGTTTGTGAAATTCTGCATACGCCGCTGCAGGCAATCAAATCGATTGCGGTTTTGCAGTCTGTCTTTTATTGCGTCTTTCTGGGCGTTGCTGGCGTTCGGGATTCCCAGGCATGGGCACGTGTTTGAGAGATTTTCGAAGCATTGAAGGTGAGTACCATATCCATGTTTTGTAAACGAAAACGCGTTGAATGTTTTGCCTTAAAACGATGGGTGGCATGCCGACAGCGCCATGCTCATACAGCGCCTACTCTCACATAAAATATACCTTCTTAGCAAACTGACACAAGGAAAAAGACTCCACGTGGTAGCCCACGCCCTCTCGCTACAGGTGGACGGTCAAATGATGGTGCATAGAGTACGCGAACGCGACCCACCCACATGCGTGTGCTCAGATAGGCGATCCTGGCAACACAGCGCATTGAAGATAACTTTCGCGGCTTTTTCGACGCGTCTTATGCAGGTGTTTTCTAAAAAAGCGGCGTAATTGCAAACCTCGGCGTCGTAATGGCCAAACGATGCTTCCATCACTTAGCATTCATTACACATCGGCACATCCCGTTGAGACAAAGTCTCAGTGCTCCGCTCCCATCTGCTCAGAGACAGATGGATGGGTTAACGTTCAGCGGCCGTTCCGCATGGAAGGGCAAGAGTTCAGTCTCTTTTTCGATCAAACGGCAGCTCTCAGTACATCAAAAGGCGTGGCAAAATGCGGAAAATTACACACCGTGCAAGCACACCATGGAAGCAAGCTTGTTGTGCTGTGATGTTTTTAGAACACTCAAATACAGGTTGATATCTAGTGCGCAGACATCTTTGTGTGTATCTCCGCCTGCCAAACTCATGACAAGGGAGTATTCCAATGCATAACTCCTTTACATGTGGCGAAAATGCGTAAAGGGCGACGGGCCGCATTCACTTATGTTAGTGCATCATCTGCATGATGGTAACAGCCACGTGTGTATCACCTCACCCATCTCACTCCACAAAAAGCGCCGCCCTGGTGTCCTTGGGGCACATAATTCTTCACATACCAACAGTATAGAGGACAGAATGCCAAACCTAGCATTGAGAACAGTAGTGACAGTGACTATGACAGCCTGTTTCAAGATGTATGATTTTGACACATGACCTGAGCAAGGCCTCGTCTTTGGGAACAACTGTGCTCTCCAATCTCATAGGAACGACCCTCTCACCACGTGTGACATTGTCGCAGCACACAGCACCCACTAGTCTTATTAACTCACCTTAGTCACGTTGGTCACGGACCATCGAATGCGGAGCAGAAGTCTGGCTAATTGGCTAGTTAGGTATCAAGATTATCGCCTGGAAATTGGATTGCGCGCAAAAGCGCGTACATGCCGAATAGCCCGGCCGGGGAGTGAGTACGGTGAAGACCTCATCAGAATCACCGGCATCACACGGTCGCAGCTGCAGAACGGCTGCCGCCAGGGGACGCATCCCCGACCAGGACTGGCAGATGAGACGCGAGAGCAGCGCGCTGCGACGCACAGACGCTGTCCCTGCCAGCTAGTGACCGACATAAGTGCCCCGGCCGTCCTTCCCTCATCCTGTTCCCAGCTTCAGGATGGCAGCCCGGTGCCCCCGCTCACGCACGTGCGCCGTGTCGGCCCGGCGTCGCCAGGTGCTGATCCAGGACCAGTGGTATGGCGCCAACGCCTGTCTGGAGGGCGACTACCTGAGCCTCACGCTGGACGACGTGCACGACAACTCGGTGAACAACAACGACAGCTCGCCCACCGACGACGTGCCCGACGCCGTGGCCAACCACAAGCGTACGGTCGTCGTCAATAAGCAGGAGAACAGCGGACTGGGCATCTCCATCAAGGGCGGCAAGGAGAACAAGATGCCCATACTCATCTCCAAAATATTCAAGGTGGGTTGCAACGACGCGAGCGCTGAGGCTATGATGCGTTTGCTCGGCACGGTGGTGCTGATCGCCGTGTCAGCGTGTCTTTGGAAGTCAGAGGGGGCTTAAAGTCTTAATGCGGCGTGACGGCTGCTGGTGCCGTGCTTACCGCGCAATAGTTTGCATTTGTCCCGCTTTGAGTCTGCTGTTGAACGGGAGGCATGACGCTGTGCGATCGGAGGGTGAGAGGCAGGCGCCGCCGTCCAGCCTCAGGAGCTGAGTGCGTTGTGAAGCCCCAGTGACGACGGCGCCTTGTGGTCACCTGACACGGCAGGCCGTTGTACTAAGACGAACCGATGCCGGGCTGTGGGGCCCGGCTGACACTGGGCCGTCGGGGCCAGCGGACGCTGGGCCGTCGGAGCCGGCGGACGTTTGGCCGTCGGGGCTGGCGGACCCTGGGCCGTCGAGGCCGGCGGACCTGGGCCGTCGAGGCCGGCGGACCTGGGCCGTCGGGGCGGCGGACCTGGGCCGTCGGGGCCGCGGACCCTGGGCCGTCGGGGCCGGCGGACCCTGGGCCGTCGGGGCTGGCGGACCCTGGGCCGTCGGGGGCCGGCGGACCCTGGGCCGTCGGGGCCGGCGGACCCTGGCGGCGGGGCCGGCGCCCTGGGCCGTTCGGGGCTGGCGGACCCTGGGCCGTCGGGGCTGGCGGACCCTGGGCTGTCGGGGGCCGGCGGACCCTGGGCTGTCGGGGCCGGCGGACCCTGGCCGTCGGGGCCGGCGGACCCTGGGCGTCGGGCCGGCGAACCCTGGGCCGTCGGGCCGACGGAACGCCGGACCGTCGGGGCCGGCGGACACCGGATGCCCGACTTGTCAGGGCGGGTTGCTGACCTCCCCGCCGCCGTCAGGCATGGCGGCCGACCAGACGGAGCAGCTGTACGTGGGCGACGCCATCCTGTTCGTGAACGGCGAGACCTGCGCGAGGCGACGCACGACGCCGCCGTTCAGACCCTCAGCGCTCGGCAAGCGGGTGGTGCTGGAAGGTACGGCTCGGCCGGCCGTCGGCCGGTGTGCTCCTGAGCTTCGGAGAGGACGCGCCCGGCGCCCGGCGTCTCTCGCCCCCGCCCACCTCGTCCCAGTCTCACTCGGGCTTTCATTTGTAATGTTTGAAAATGTTTGTCTCGTGTTTTGAGTTGTTTTGTGCTCTTCCGCAGTGAGCTTTTCCCGGGCCCGCGGTCCCATTTTCTCTCCTGATGTCGGTTTCTTGCTGGTGCCTCTGATAAGGATTTTTGAAAGTGGACATTTGACATGTTGCTCCGCTGTGTTTTATTTTGCATGCGACGGGACGCGGGGTGTGTGTACGCTCCCAATGACACGTGGAGTGAGTTATCTGCATATTTGACTTGGCAGCAAATGCTTGTGACTAGCCTCAAATGCCTGATTATTTGGTTGCATCATTGGTTTGATTTGGGGGTTTTGCAGTGGGTCGGTGACTGCCCAGTCGCTCGCTGTTTGCGTTGCGGCGCTCCGACCGGTCTGTGGCCTGGCTGCTTGCTTGCCTGATGGCTGGCCTGGCTGTATGCTCCTCGGTTGGCCTGTCGTGGTTAGCTGGCATGCGCGTGTCTCGGCCGTCGGGACCGGCCAGGAGCCGCCCGCCGCTGTCGGCCGGTCCCGGCCGGCCGTCGCCGGGCCGGCCGGCGGACCCCCGACAGCGGCCGCGCCCGCACGGCCCGGTTTGAGCTTGCGCCCTCCCCTTCCCATCCTCCCTTTTCTGCGCTCCTGGATCCGCCTCTGTCTGCTCTGTCGGCCCGCCCCCTCCAGTCGTCCCGTCGTTCTACGTTTCAGTCAAGTACCTGCGCGAGGTGAAGCGCTACTTCCGCAAGGCGACGCTGACCGGGCAGCTGGGCTGGGACGTGGAGCGCGAGTACCTGGCCGAGGGCGCTGGCTCGCCGGCTGAGCGACCAGCCGAGCGCAGCCCCGACACCAAGCTGGTGCGGCTCCAGCTGTGCCAGCTGGGCCGCAACATCCGCTGTCAGGGTGAGCTGCCCGCGCGGCGCGCGCGCGCGGACGCGACGAGCGGGCCGGCTGGCGGCGCCGCCTGGTGCGCGCTGGAAGAGGTGTCTCAGGTGGGAGGTTGCGAGCGTCGGGAGCGCCGATGATGATGTGATTGTTCGGGCTTCGTCGATGGTAACGATCAAGTGCAAGCTGAATTGCCGAGTTTTAACCGGCCAGGAATGCTGTCGAGTCTGTTTTGCCCCTGAGTTTTCTCTCGTCGACTTCAGTAAGCGTTTGGTCTTTGTTTATTGGGTTGAATCGTGAATTGTGTCGCCGAGCTTGACCTGAGAAGCCGGGTAACTGATCACTGTTCGACAACACCAGGGCAGACTGAGCCACGCCGTCCTCCTCTCTATCTCCACAGAGCCGAACAGTTTCGAGATTCACTCGCAGGACCTGCTGCACTCGTGCATCCTGCGCTTCCAGGACGCCGGCCAGGCCACCTGCTGGTTCAACACGCTCCACTCTTCGCTCAGCGCCCTCGCGCGGCAGGTGGGGCCGGTGCTTCGGAGCGGCGCTCGGCACGGATACTCAGGAGCGGCAGCGTCGCTTCCGTGCGTGTGCTCGGTGTGGGGGATGTGGGCGACTCCCTGTCGGCAGGCTGACAGGGGGTGAGCGGTGTGGCCCGTCATGGTGAATGCTCTGTCAGGTGCTCAGGGTCTGAGTTGGTTTGTGTTCCCAGCGGCGGTCTGTAGCTGTGTTAGATGCTCGCCAGTCTGTCAGCTAGAACCCCACTTGTGGCGGCTGGAGGAGCACGGCTTGCCACGTGCCCGCCAGCAGCCTCCCACCTCGCGATCTCGTGCTGTGCCGAAGCTGGATGGTGCCCGCCAGCAGCCTCCCACCTCGCGATCTCGTGCTGTGCCGAAGCTGGATGGTGCCCGCCAGCAGCCTCCCACCTCGCGATCTCGTGCTGTGCTGAAGCTGGATGCCCCGAACTAGTCGGTCACCTCACGTGGTGGCAGGACGGCGCCCTGCCACTGGAGCACCGGGGGTCACGGTCGGTGAGCTTGCCTGCAGTCACACGGCTTGTGCCGGCTTATGATCAGACACGCATGGGAGAGACCGCGTCAAGTCGTCGCATTCCCGCGCCGGTCGTGCAGGCCCGGGCGCTCCGCGTCCGGTCCCGACCGTCCCGTCCGCCTGCGTCCCCAGGCGATGGAGACGACCAACGAGCGCGTGCGTGACATCCTGGACGGCAGCGGCGTGCTGCACATGGGCTGGGTCTGCGTCCGCTTCAACCGAGCAGGTAGGCGCCGGCCCGCGACCGTGCTCGATGGCTTCTCGCCGTCAGCGCGGTGTGTCTGCCTGTCGCGGCCGCGTTCACGACGTGCGATGGCTTGCTTAAGCTGTGGCTGCGACAACCGCAGGGCTCGGTGGGGTCTGACCTCCGAACGTGAGTGAGTTTGGGGAAGAATGTGGCTGTTGTGATCGGAAAAGACAACACCAATGCTGACTGAACGCCACTAACCCTTAAGGTGTGCGTACCCTCATGCCCAAAGCGGCGCCTGATGTCTGAGTGCTGTGTCTGGCAGCCGTTCGCCGTCCGTATTGTCGCGCTGTGGCGTGCGCTGAGAGGGGCGCGACCCAGCGGCCGTGACCCGGCCTCACCGTCGACGGCCGCGTGCCCGCGGCAGGACCAGTCGCTCGACAATCGGCCGTGGGAGCAGCGGTTCGCCGCCGTCACCGAGCGAGAGTGTGCTCATGTTCGCCAAGGTGCCGTGGACGCTGGAGGCGTGGGCGGCGCCGCAGGCCGCCTACCCGCTCATCATGACCCGGTGAGACGGCGTGCGGTCGCCCGAGGTCGCCGGCGGTTGCCAGCCCCCCGGAGACCCTTGACTTGTGGTCACGAGTGAGACGCGCCGCCGCCTCTCAGCTAGAACAGCAGAAGCACCGGACGAGATTTGTTGAGTGTCTGATCTGTGTCACCGGAGTAAAGAACCAGTGGCACGTGGGCGTCGCTGGAGCGGCGCTGGCACGTGCTCAGCCGCCCGGCCGTGACACGGTGACACATGACGCGTGACGCGCGCGGCGGCGTCGGCAGGTTCGTGCGCTACCGGCTGACGCCGGGCGACGCGCCGCCCTCGCCAGCCGAGCCACATCCGTTCACGACGCGCACCGGCACGCGCCACGGCGTGACCAGCGTGCAGTGGCGCGTGGAGACGCCGCGCGAATCTGGCCAGCTGGAGCCGCAACCGTCTGTGCAGGCCACGCACGCGGGCCGTCGCCGACCTGGCAGCAGATCCAGTTCGGTGAGACGCCGCCGCCGTCGCGCCGCCACCCGGGCGTGGCGGAGCTGGGCAGTGGGCGGAACGCTGGCGATTCGGGGGTCCCAGCGTGTGTTGAATGGTTCAGGAAACGTGGCGCGTTCTGTGGCACAGGAGTTGAAAGCTGTATAGTGCTTTAAGAACAGGCCGCACTGGCCGTGATGCCGTTCTCAGGGCGAGGTTCGCGTTAGGTGTCGCCCGCTGCGTCTCGCTCATTGGGAATGGGTGTCGAAGTGACGGACGCGGCACGTGCCGTCCTCTCTTCGAGACGGCAGTGTAGCGCCGACAGAGGCTTCTGGCATCTGGGGGTGTTTGGCTGACGGTATTTTTACCAGACACGGCTTTGCCTGACAGCGTTCTCTGCTCGTCCGCTGTTGGAGGGGGGATGGGGGTGGGGGTGTGGGTGTGGGTGTGGGGTGTGGGTGGAGGGGCTATGGGGGGGGGGGGGGGCCTCCCCGATGTCTTGGTGTACTGTCTGGAGTCGCAGAGCCAGGTGGCGTGACGAGCGTGTGTGAGGATCTTGCTGGCAGTGCGACATCATTTTTCCATTGGCGTATTGGCATTTTTCCTTTGGCTGGTAGCATATTGTGTGCCTGTTTCAACCATTGGAAGTGAGCCGAAATACCATCGGTTTTCTCGTCAAGGCTGTGTGACTGTACAACCTTTACTAACACTGAATTGAGTGGCTGCAGCTTATTGGGGTGGTTATAGCGGCCTGTCATTTGCTTGACTTTGGCCATGACTTTGGCCTTCTCAGTGGTATGATTTGTCCTTGCCTATTGCGTAACACAATTCATGGCCGGGTCTGCACCACCTCTTCGCATGCTTCTTATGTTTGCTTCGTCTTCCTAGCTGGGGGTGCCGCGACCCGGATTTTAGTTTTCTGGTGTCAACGCGCGGTTTATTGCGTCGCTGGGATGGAGGGAGGGACACTCCTGGTTGCCCGTCTTGGGTAACGGTACAGAAAAAAGGCAGGCAGGTGACCACACCTCACGGGAGGGATGTTTGCCTATCGGTGCCAGATATCCGGTGTGTCGGAGAGTCCGGTGGCCGTGCTCAGGTCGCCGGCACGCTGGCGCGGGTCCTGCCTGGTACAAAGACTGTCGGTGGAAGGGCCAGGACGCGCGTCTGACGGAAGGCATGCTGACGCGTTCCTGTCCTGGTACGCAGACTGATCGGTGGAAGGGCCAAGACGCACGCCTCATGATGCAGTGCTGACGCGGTCCTGTCCTGGTACGCAGACTGTCGGTGGAAGGGCCAAGACGCGCGTCTCCCGATGCAGTGGTGACGCGGTCCTGTCCTGGTACACAGACTGTCGGTGGAAGGGCCAAGACGCGTGTCTCACAGTGCAGTGTTGACGCGGTCCTGTCCTGGTACGCCAGACTGTCGGTGGAAGGGCCAAGACGCGTGTCTCACAGTGCAGTGCTGACGCGGTCCTGTCCTGGTACGCAGACTGTCGGTGGAAGGGCCGAGACGCACGTCTCATGATGCAGTGCTGACGCGGGTCCTGTCCTGGTACGCAGACTGTCGGTGGAAAGGCCAAGACGCGCGTCTCATGATGCAGTGCTGACGCGGTCCTGTCCTGGTACACAGACTGTCGGTGGAAGGGCGAAGACGCGTGTCTCACAGTGCAGTGGTGACACGGTCCTGTCCTGGTACGCAGACTGGTCGGTGGAAGGGCCAAGATGCGCGTCTCACGATGCAGTGGTGACGCGGTCCTGTCCTGGTACACAGACTGTCGGTGGAAGGGCCAAGATGCGCGTCTCACGATGCAGTGCTGACGCGGTCCTGTCCCGGTACACAGACTGTCGGTGGAAGGGCCAAGATGCGCGTCTCACGATGCAGTGGTGACGCGGTCCTGTCCTGGTTACAGAGACTGTCGGTGGAAGGGCCAAGATGCGCGTCTCATGATGCAGTGCTGACGCGGTCCTGTCCTGGTAGCAGACTGTCGGTGGAAGGGCCAAGATGCGCGTCTCACGATGCAGTGGTGACGCGGTCCTGTCCTGGTACACAGACTGTCGGTGGAAGGGCCAAGATGCGCGTCTCACGATGCAATGCTGACGCGGTCCTGTCCTGGTACACAGACTGTCGGTGGAAGGGCCAAGACGCGTCTCACGATGCAGTGGTGACGCGGTCCTGTCCTGGTACACAGACTGTCGGTGGAAGGGCCAAGACGCACGCCTCACGATGCAGTTCGAGGACGGGCTGACGCTGCGGCCGGCGGCCGACCCGGCCGGCGCTGCCGCCGCCCTCTGGCACTACAGCTTCGACAAGCTGGTCGACTCAGCGACGACAACCGCTCCACCGTCCTGCTCAACTTCGGCAAGAATGAGGTCATGGTATGTAGCCGAGGGGAGGGGAGGGTGGAACGGGGGGGGGGGGGGGAAAGGGGGCGCTGGCGTCGTGATATTACGCTCCGTTGTCACAGAACACGCAGTCAGGCAAAAATGGGATTACGCATTCAAAGGAAGTGGAAATGGTTGCCTGGTTCAGGCCCTTATCTCTTGACCTTTATTGGTAAAGCTTTCCAGTTGTAAGATTTCCAGGATCCAATGCCCCAGCATGGCAATAGAAACTTGCATGACCGCTTATATTTGCTTAATATTTTATATGCCGCTTATATGTACATTTTCATGCGGTCTTCAGTCTGTTCCAATTACTTCGGGCCACTTGTGTCTGTTTCGTTTTAAGATAGGGGCAGTTTGGTGAGGCTTCTCATTCTTAATTCCATGGGGCCCTGATCTTTCAATAGTGGGAATCCTCACCAGAATTGGGCGTCTGCGCAGTTAGCAACAATTTACAGCATTGTGACCGTTTGAAAGCGCAATTTTGAGGCCGTTTACGGTGGTTGAAGCGCCCATAAAGCTCAAATATTATCAGCAGCGACGGCGTGGGTCACCATATTGCACCTTCCGCGTTGGTGCTGGTCAGGCAATCGATGCGCTTTGCTTTGCCGACATGCAGGCAATGCTATTGCCCATGCCATACCGTGCACTGCGCCGGGGGCGGCCAGGGCACAGTGTGACGCGCCTGTCCGCCGCAGGAGGTGGAGTTCGGCTCGTCGCCGAAGCCGTTCGTGTTCGCGCTGCACACCTGCCTGTCGGCCAAGGTGGAGCGACTGGGGCTCACGTGAGCGACCGCTCCCGAGCCCCCGACCCACCGCAACATATCACTCGGCCGGCCCGGCCTGCCCACTCATATCTGTCCGCCATATTGTCTTCCTTCGGCGCGCGGCGCTGGCGCCGCTGCTGCGGCCGGCAGCTGACCGTTTATTGACGTCTGACTTCGGTGTGGTGTGGGCGCGGCCCCCCTGTCGTCAACGGTTCGTTGTTTACGCTGGCTCCGGGCAGCCCGGAGGATGCCGGATCGCTTCCCCGAGCGGCTGCGTTTTTAGAGGCCGTGACCTTTGACCAGCAGACTAGTCGTGAGTTACTCGCTTTGATAATCATTTTGGTGTGCGCGTGGCGTCGGCCGCGCCGGCGCGTGGGTGTGATCGTGCTCGTTGTTGATTGGCTCGCTGCCGAGGCGCTAGCAATAACGCTGTGCGCGATGTGTTGTCCGCTCTTGCGCCAGGCTGATGCTCAACTAGGCCCGCCCCGTCCCCGGCTCTGATTCCACGCCGGGGCGGGCGCGCACCATATCAGGCCGTGTCCGCCAGTCGGCGTGTACAAACCAGGGGCCAGCCGGCGGGCTGCCGGGGCTCCGCACGCCGCCGCCGCCTCTCCGCGCTTCCTTCTGTTCCACGCGGTGGCGGCAGGCAGCGTCGCGCGGCGTTTTCCAGACGGATTCTGCATTTACGATCGCGTGTTGACGGTGTGTCGTGCCGTTCGCCGGGAGCGCGGCGCGACCACTTGCTGCACGTGAACTCTACGTCTCGCTGCACTGTGCGTAACATACTGCGCGTGGCTGGTTTGTATTATTGTGTTAAGATGGAATCCTGTATCATGGAGCGTGTGTTGAATGTATTTTCATCTTCCGACCGAGCATATTCGGTGCCAAATTGCACTCGGGCAAGTTATTAAACGTTTAATATATATTTACATTACTTGGGAGATGGTGTGTGACGCTCGGATCTCGTGCTTACAGCGCAACAGGGGCGGAGTCGTCTTCCGATAGGGACAACCGCCACCTTCCGTGACAGTTCACTGTTCAGCTGTGCCATTGTCACCGAATTACCTATAGAACTAGCCTACAATGAAACGGAACATTAGCAAATGGACGGAACCAGCAGAATCACTGCTGCCACCGACCTTTGAAGCATCTGCCGATGCTTCAAAGGCGGGGTGGCGGGCCGCCCACGCACACCAATGCGACATGGGCAGACTCGTCCGCGCCTACGGCTTCGTGGCCATTCTCCCAATACTCCATCTCCATCGCTCCTGAGCACCAGCAACGGTCAAC